CACACACACACACACACACACACACACACACACACACACACACACACACACACACACACACACACACAGACAGACAGACAGACAGACAGACAGACAGACAGACAGACAGACAGACAGACAGACAGACAGACAGACAGACAGACAGACAGACAGACAGACAGACAGACAGACAGACAGACAGACAGACAGACAGACAGACAGACAGACAGATAGATTACCAAATGTTCCAAACTATATCCTGGTGAGGTGAAAAGTTGTGATAATAAAATGATTCCTAATACAGTAAAGCCTGCTCATGTTTCTAAGTGTGTGTGTGTGTGTGCACGCAGATAACCGCGGTGAACTCAGAGCTGAGTGACGAGCGTTTCCGTGGCGACGCGGTGGGTCAGGCTCTCGACGTGGAGCGGGCCGAGAGAGTCCGACTCAGCAGAGAAAATAAAGATCTGCAGGTACTGAAGTAATCTATTACTCTCTCACCAGAGTAACAGTATCATGACACTCTCCTGTAGTGTGCCATGTAGGGTTTAGTGCATGTCAATGGTCTGCAAAGGCTAAAATCCCAGTGTTCCGTCCAGAGCCAGTTTCTCTCCAACACACCCCGCCCTCCACTGGACTCCCTTTTTGTGAAACGTGTGTTGTGTGTCCTCCTTCAGGCTCGGTGTGAGCAGTGCAAAGTGAGCATGGAGGCTGTGGAGAAGCAGCTGCAGGAGGAGAAGCAGAACGTCCTGATCGCTGAGAGCCAGAGAGGAATCAGGACAGGTACAGATCACAGGCTCGGGTTTCATTTAATTCCAAACCTTTATTCAACCAGGTGAATCCCATTGGGATCATCCATCTCTTTTTCAAGGGAGACCTGCAGCTGCAAGTAGGTTCCACCTGAAGACAGAAAAAAAACAGAAAAACAAAAAGGACATCATACTACATAGATACAGGGATTTACAATGTACATACCTAACGACATGTACAGGTACCAACCGTATCAGATTGCATAGCATCTACGTCCCTAACACAGTCCTAGCACTTGGCACATTTAACAAAACCTCATCATGAGATCTCAGGCAATAGCTACCTGCACCTCTCCGTGTGACCAGAGAGCAGATGTGACATGGTAGTTTACCTAACATGGCTTTGTAGATGAACATGTACCAACAATGACTGAGCCTCCGTACAGAAAGTGAAGGCAAACCTGCCCTGGCATACTAATAATAACGTCTGATCAGCAAAATGTGTTTTAGTTTTTACTGAAGGGAGCTTTACATGAGTCTGATTCCCTTTCAATTTTTTTTTTTTTTTAATTCTTTATTTTGAGTCACATTATAAGTCAGAATTTTGATATTTTGAAAAAGAAAGCCTAAAATCCGAAAAAAGTAAAAATTCTGCGATTTTGAGAATAGTCAGAATTACGGAAAAAAAGTCAAAAACTTTGAGAATTTAAAAAAAAATCTGAATAAAAAAAAAAAGTATTCTGAAAAAGTACGATTTTTTTATTTTGAAAGAAAAATCTGAATAAAAAGAAAAAGTCAGATTTAAAAAAAAAAAAAAATTCTAAAGAAGGAGAATTGTCCACATAAATACATACACACATACATATACACACATAAACACATAAATACAGTACATACATGCACACACAAACACATTCAGGCGGTGTATAGAAACACAGTCAAAGAAGAGATGGTCGTTTTTGGGATTTGTCATTTCTCCACTTTTTCCATGTTTTCCTCTGATTCCCCTTTAACTGCACATAACTCTCATAAATCTCTAATGTCAGCCGGATCAAAGCCACCAAGTTTCAAGCTAAAATGCCAGATGGCTAAAAGTCACCAGATTCGAAATGTACATTTTAAAAAGTACCCCCCTCTCCTCAGAGGGCGAGCTGTCGATGCAGCTGGAGGTCAGCCAGACGGAGGTGGAGTTTCTGAGAAGAAGACTGAAGCAGACGGAGGAGAAGCTGGAGACGGAGAAACAGAGCAGACAGCAGCTCGACTCCAAGGTGAGGAGGAAACACACACACACACACACACACACACACACACACACACACACACACACACACACACACAAACACCCACCACCAGACAGACAGACAGACAGACAG